ACACACACACACACACACACACTACTATATGGTACAGGTTCTGAACACTAGCACTTTGAATTAAAGGTATACTATAATCATCCGGAACGATTCTCATTCTAAGCTTTTTTATGACAGAATGTACAGAGTCGACCTCCATGTATACGCATGCCCGACTTCCAAGAATTTCTGTTCCATGTGGACTTTATGTTTTACGGTAAGGTCCTACAGCTCATTCGCCAGTTTGACATTTCTATTCTGATGTCCACATTCGTCACTCCACAAAATAATTTGTTGAGGTAAAGACAGTATTTTCTTAGAGAAGAAAGCTGTAGCAATGCTAGCGAATACATTACTTTCTAATCTTCCTGATCCTCATGCCACACATAACATGATACATCTTTGCTGGAAAGGTGAAAATAAACCTGATTGTGAACTTTCAACTTCGTTTTAAAATGATTTGCAGTCGCGTTCAGGTGAGACGCCAGAAGGACAGCTTGTGGATCAACTGTGTAGCAATTAATGTCATTATTTTCCAAAGCTAAGCTTATGTCAACATCCTTTTCCAACTTATTATTGTTCTTCTCTTTGTCATGTTTCCTACAAGATTCTTCATCAAGTGTCCCGTTCTTGTGTTAAGTACATTCATTACACCGATTTTTCTTGGGATTGCAGATGTCCATGTTTAACCTTCAAATTGTTTTTTGAAAGGCGCTCCATGCAATTTTCCTTTCAGATGTACATTCTTCTTCATAATAACGGTGCATGTCTCTAAAGCTATCCCAAACTGGTTCATAATAGAGTTTTATAAGCATCTATAGTTTTATTCTAACAACGAAATTTTGTTCACATGATCTTCAAAACAATTGAAAATTTACTGAGATTTCGTGAAATCACTCCATCTTCCTTTCCTAATCTTTCAGGCAATATGTAAGTGTGCATTCTCAGTTTTTCGTAAGTATCTAAAATTGATGAATAAATATTCAAAGTGAATTCAACGTTTCTAAAAGCACATAACATTTTATACTTAGTTTTTAAAGCACTTCAATAGCTCAATTAGGCTTTGAGATATTGAAGGTCAATGGATTAGTACGAGTTATTCCGGGTGCGTCGACTGCTAAGGCCATTAATCCCGTAAGCTTTGTGAATGTTTTTAATCGCGGGAGGAGTCGTTGGGTGGAGAGATCCGCCGCCGAACTACACCTCGCCTTGCTGGGCTTCCGTCGACCAGGTATCTCTCACCAGCGGGGCGCCACCACAGCCGGAACAAACGCTGAGCTCCCGACTGATCTCCCGGCACGTTTGGTAGTGTATGTAACTGTAAGGGTATGTAAGTAAGGGGTGAGGATATGACAAGGATGAGGAAGGAAATATCGCGTACAGTCCGAGGCCCGTTTTTTAGGGTACACTCTGGCATTAGCCGGGTGTTGATCGAAGAAACCACGGAAAACTACCGATCAGAGCAGCCGAGCACTAGAATTGTCCTCCAGACAGCGGCTGAATTCGGCCTAGCTACTCGCAATAGTTAATTTCGCAAATTCTGCCACCGTCGGGTCTTTAACCATACGACCTCGTAGTCAGAGGCACTGCAGTTAAATCGGTCCAGTATTACTCATGCAAGGTTTCTTGATACACGAGCTCCCTAGTCCTCATCCAACGCTGACTAGCACGGCACGTAGAGTACTATGGTTCGACTCGGAACGGCACGTACCAATTTACAATGCTGGCAACAACCACCCCGTACTTTCGAAAAAATGGTAACATTTCTATTGGCGCGCTTTGGCGAGTTAAGTTCATGTCCAGAGTTGGAACGCAATTTTATGCCAGAGCCCTCCATTCCCCGCACCCCCCTCTGTGGAATATTCAGAAAACTTGCTCCTGTAGTAATCCCATCTTACTTTTCAAGTTTTCGAGTACGCGAACACAAGAAACACTCTCGGCACTAGAAAGCAGCGGTCAGAATCAACATTCGAGATATGCGATCCATATGTTCTAGAATTTGAAGTGAGAACATTGAGGAAAAACACCGGGTGATGTGGCTCAGGGCATCAACTGATGTCGCTACAGTCCCTCTCACCGGAAGGTCCTAGGTTCGAGTTCCGACGGTGGAAGGATTTAGTACTCTAGCTTGTTAGCTAGGTCGAATTCAGTCGCTCTGGAAGAGAATTCTTGCAGTCGGCTGCTGTAATCGGTAGTATTCCGTGGTTTCTCCGATCAATACCGGGCGAATGCCGGAGCCGTACCCTATCAAAAGGGCCACGGGCCGTGCGCGACCTCACCTTTCTCTTCCTTGTCTTATCCTCTCCCCTTACACACACACACACACACACACACACACACACACACACATACACACACACACTTACTTTCACATGCACTACATTACTGGGAGACCAGTCGGGAGCTTAGAGCTTTTCCCAACTAGGGCGGTGCCTCGCTGGTGGGAGATACCTGGTTGGAGAAAACCCCTCTAACCGACGGTTTGTCCTGGATACCTCCCGAGCAAAAACATGCACTACACTTACGTGACTAATGATCCTGGCAGTTAACGTGCCCGAAATCACTAAACAATCAATTGAACATATACCGAAGCTTGTGATTCGCTTTAACCAAAGATGCAGTGCTTGCGTCACTACGAGATCACGAACTTTCAATCACATACTAATTTCAAGCACAGTGTAGGATAATTAGCGATTTCGCGTTAATTTCGCTTGAATTTTTTTCTGTGGAGAAACATGAGAAACATGAAGTATTTAAAAAAATTATTTTGTACCGATAGTGATTATCAAAGTATTTATGATAATAAACCGCATAAACAGCACATTTTGTTGAACTCTCCTTTTGCTTGTACGAATAATGGTAGGGGTAGACGTTAGCAATGCAGAAACATCATATCTGCAATTCGTTTACCGATGCAAATAATTTTGCTTTTTCTAGGGAGCGAAAATGTCTAGCTTTTTCAAATATTGCTAATCTCTCGCTTTTTAAAAAAAAAATATGTTTATTTATTTATTTATCTTTAACCTTTACTCATCATTCAACTATTTATAGTTAAAATGATGGGAAGGGATTCTGAAACTCACGAAAACGTGCACAGATGATCTTCTTCCTCAGACGTCACGTAGTGTTCGCTGTTTTTTGTTGTTTTTTTTTTTTCAAAATAAATCTAAATCTAAACCGTTCAGCCGAATTTCTCCAAAGTAGACACTCCGCAATCGTTCTAGCTAGTGGCGGCTCATGCCTATTCGCATCTTAATGATAAATAATATTTATTCCTTAACGATAGATTTTGAAATAAGGCCTTGTTTAATTTTTCGAAAATTCGAGTTCTTTTCGCGTAATTGTGCGAGAAATGTAGGCAACTTTTAACTTTGTTTAAAGAATTTGTTTTCTCGAAAACGGCCCAATTTTGATTAAATTTTGACCTCGGATAGCGTATATAATACTTGAAAGAATGGAGCAGGTGTCATTTTCTTTCAAATTTTAATTTTTGAAAATTGCAAAAAATCAATTTTTTAGCGCTTTCTACAACTACAATTATGAAGATACACATTTTTATCTTAATGAAATGTGTTCATCAAAAGCAGATCTTCAAATACTGTTATGTTTAATTTGTCAAAATTATGAGTAAAATTATGCGTGTCGAAGATAGGCAATTTTATTTCATTTCAACCATTTTTTCTTAAAAACGGCACAAACTTTTTTGATTAAATTAACGACCGTTAAAATGCTTGAGAGTCCATTAAAAATTTTAGCGGGCTCTCGAGTTTAGGTTTTACCACAGTTCATAAATCTTTGAAAAAATACGTCCCCTTTGTCTCACTTGACCGTTGTTCTTTTTTGTCCCATTTTGTCCATTTCTCCCATATCCCATTGCTCCCATTTGGCCTCCTTTTCCATTTTCCCCTAGGCGCATTTTGTCCCATTTTGAACCCTTGTTTAATTTAGTAATCTTGTCCCATTTACGCATTTGGTCCCCTTGTTCAGTTGTCCCATTTTGTTCAAATTTTCTAATTTGTCCCTCTTTCCCTATTTTGTTCCTTTTCTCCTCTTTTCCAATTTTGTACATTTTGTCCCCTTGCCCTCTTTGTTCTCGTATTGGTGTATCTTATATCTTTTCCTGCCTTGTTTTAGTTCTTCCGCGCACTGCCATTGTTATTTAAAAATGGAATTGCAAATTGCAAAGAGAATGAAATTCTGCCCATGGATTCCGAAAATTCTAGTCATGTAATTGGTCAACATGCTGTGGATTCTGAACTGGAATCCACGGGGTGTATAATGGTTATTCTTCGATTAATTATTAATTACAGTAATTATTCTTCGATTCGACATCAGGAATACGTCTATTATTAACTGGTCGTAGAGAAATAGTATTATATAACCATTACTGAGGGCGAGAAAGTGGATTTTACCTTAGTATCTCCAGTGTAAAAATTGGTAATGGATTTCGGCAGGATTTCGCGTTTATCGCGAAAATATGCAAATGTTGGGGAGGAAATGGAATGAGTTCATAGCTCCAATAATTCAGTTAGTTATGAAAACCCGAAAAAGCTTTAATTAGTTTGTATCGTGATTACGAAAGACTCATGCAGCACTACTTTTACTAGTTATTACCAAACCTATTTGCAATTCTATCTGACGTTCTATTTATAGATTGCCCGCAAAAGACTTTGAACCCTTTCCTCGTAGCGTTCAACAGTTTAGGAAATTAATTTAGGGTATTACTAAATAAATAAGGGACTTAACTGAGAATAGTTGGTTATAGGGCGATGCGTAAGCAATATATTGTGAAGTGAGGTGTCGTGCAGTGTAGAATAGAGAAATAATGTAGAATGTGATTAAAAGGTCATAGTGAAGTGAAGTGAAATGCAGTTGAACAAAAATTCAGTGTGGAGTTAGTTTACAGATGTTTCTTTTTTTAAGATAATTTAAATGTTTTATGAATTAGACATTTTTATATCATTATTATTTTTATTATTATTGTATTTATTATTATTATTATATAATTTGCATGATCGCTGCATTATCTTGTTTATGTACTTACCTGCCACCGGGTTATGCCCATTTGGTTCAAACAAATTTATCTTATAATTGAGCGGGCACATTCTGTGCATTTTCTTTGCAAACATGCCTTCATCCAGCACTATCTATGGGTAAACTGAGAAATACGTTTGAGCAATGGACTGAAATGCTCGCATGTGTTTGCTGTGCATCTTTTAATAGTTATTTATTATAATGCCAATAATAATATGTCTTTTTGTGAATTAAGTGATCCGGAGTGGGAATCGTTCAATTTAAATTCGAAAGTTAAATTCTTCGAACTTTTATACTTGTAGCCCAGTGATGGTGGCACAACGAAATAGCGCAATACAAATGAAGTCCTCTGTGACAGGTAAACCGCGAAATTTGCTTCTTTTGCGTTAACTTCAGATAATGCGAAATTGTTTACAAGGAATACTATTTTGATTATACTCTTGACTGTGTTCCAGGAACGAAAAAGAACAGCCTTCCGTCACCGAGATTGCGTCATAAAGACGAGTCGTACGTGAAAAAACTTGAGTTGGGCTTGTCAATTTTTCGAAACAAAATTCAGCTGAGAGTGGATCGTTGCCAGGTATACATTGTTATGAATTTGCATAGCTACTTAAAATTGATATCAGAATCATACTAGGTAAATTAAAGGTAAAATATTAAACATGACGATGCCTGTGTTGTTTGTTTATAAATTAAGAGGTTAAATTCTTTTTATATACAAATGAATTCGCGATGACAAGTATGTAAAATGCCATTTTTGCATATTAACATCAAATCATTCTTAGAAACAACTGAACATTGTTTTCAAAGTAAAGCCTCAAATGGATAAAACAACTTTTGAAACTTTGTACGAAATATACTGGATGAAAGTAATCCTTAAGGGAAATATTTTTTATTTAGTGTTTTAACTTGTTAATCTTATGTTGTGTGTATCTTGTGTTAAATCTTATTATAAAATTAATTTTTGTGAAAGACATGAACATACTGAATGCATGTGCAAATTGCATGCAGGCATGTACATTTCTTTGTTTCTATAAATGTGTTATTGTTTGTGTCCAAAATGATTTTTTTAAGAAGCTGTTTATTTGAATATAAATTTTGAATTATTTAGATACATTATGGTTGGATTATTTTAATGGATTATTTATAACATGAAATTTTTTCAGAAAGGATGTTGTATTTTTTATAGATTATTAATTATTTAAATTTATTAAATAATTATTAAAGGCCTATTCAGTAATTTCTTAAAATCATTAGGCTTTAAAGCTGCCTTATAGTTCTGCTTGGTGAAGTGGTGAATTCCAGAGCACTGTTCAACTAAGCGAATCCCTATTAACATAATATTGAACTTTGATCTTGAGAAGTGACATTAAATCCATTTGATTATCCAGCTCTTTCAGGGTGTCGGGTGTAAAAGAGTGGAAATCCCTTTGGTATTTAAACATTAAATACTTTACCTAATTGGAATTGACTGGAGAGTTGGGTGATTGATAAATGAATTAGACAAAAGATGATAGAGTGAAAGAGGAATAGACAGAAAAAAATAACCTTGTAAGACAAGAATGCTGTCTCTCCAGCCTTATTTAATATGTGTGCAGAAAAACTCATCAGAGAAGGTTAAAGGAGTCAATGTTGGTTAACTGCATTAAATTCATAGATTTTAAGCAAAATTAAGATTCTGAGGAAGTGCTTCAAATCACAATGGTACATTATATTGGTGAGAAATTTGCTGCAAATGTGAACATTGAGAAAATAAGTTATTGAGGTGACCTTAATTATTGCACTAGGTGAACAGAGCTTGCTAATTATTTTCTTTAAAAACTTGAACCTACAATATTATCTGTGGAGAGAAATTATAAAGTGGGATTGCTATCTATAGAACAGCAATCAATGCAGTAAAATGTGTGATGAAAGTAAAAATTATCTCGCTCTGAGAAAGAGGGGTGTTTTGTGATTTGTCTGGGTGCTGAAGAAACCGTGGTACATCGTTGAGCCAAAATTGCTGAAAGGATTTGAAACGTATTTACCTGAATATAAGACGAGTCATGTTTTTACACCTTGAAATTCGGGGGAAAAATACACCCGAATATAAGACGACCCTTGTTTTTATAACTTGATATCAATTTCCTATTAGATAATGAAATTGGAAAAAAAAAAAAAAAAAAAAACAAACACTTACATGTTTATTAACATTATGCATAAATTATTCTGTGCTTATCAATATTTTATACAGTACATGAATTAAACTTCAATTTTACCACATCCACATTCATCATTTAGTCATCTCTCAATCATCATCTTTGCTTTTTTCATCATCGCTCAACTCATGTCCATCATTCTCACTCCATAACATAATCTTCTGTGCCATCCAGACTGTTGCTTACACAGCACGTTTTGAAACCTTTTATTATGCATTGAATTGATATAGTATTCCATGCAGTTAGAATCCACTGACCTAACTGTCCAACTGAAGGTTTTTTGATGTCTGGAGTTAATGGGCAGTTCCCTGATTACAGCCACTCGTCATTATGGCATCTGAGTTGGTGCTTGAAAGATTTGTTCAGTCACATCAAGGGCTTGCAACTGTGAGGTCATGCCTCCTGGTATCACTACTAAATCTGTTTTTAAACTAGCAAGTTTCTTTTTCACTTCTTCAGTAAGGTGGCCCCTAAAGGCATCAAGGGTTAACAATCCTCTCTGCTGTAATAGGAATCCCGGTCGCTTGTCCCAAAGTTCTTGAAGCCAAGAAAACTAAGCTTTCAGCCTTCCACCCAGATTCATTGCATTTAATAATTACTCCACTTAGTAGTTTTTTTGTTTTTCTTTGGTGGTGGTGGGGGGATTCTTCCTTTTCAAGATAAATAGTGGTAGCTTCCTGCCATCTGCCAATACTCTCAGCATGACCGTAACATGCATTTTTTTCGTTTTCAGATGTTTTTATCATAACTGAATTTACACTCATTTGTAGCCACTATTGTTAGAAGGCACGTCGAAGTACGCGGTGGTCTCATCCGCATTCCTCATTTGACTCAACAAATGGTTGTGTTGACGGCGCAATTGTATAATGTACTTTTGGTACTCCGAAGATTTTTTTCTTTTTCCCTCGTAATCTGCAGGCAGCTTTTGCGATAGGGAAGTTGTTCTACACAGACTGAACCCTTTATGAGAATAATCGTATGCCCCATCCGACATTCGCATTGAATTCCTGTCTGGAAATGTTTCTCCTTTTTGCTACTTGTAATGCTTTCATGCGAATGCTGTTTATAGAAACTCCGAAGCCCTTGTTACGATTTATTACGAATTTGACAACTTCATCGTCGATTTCGGGATGGCGACCCACTTGTGGTCCACGGAAACATTTCCTTGTGGAATTACAAGATTTCAGACGTTCCTTCATACCTCTCCAACGCCGTACATTTGCTTCACATATTCCATAACGTGCAGTTTCACTATAGTTCGTTTGTTCAACAGATGAATCACTCGCAATTTTAAGTTTGCGTCTTAACTTTTACGTCGTTCCATATTTCTGGTAAGTTCTACACTTTCTCCATTCACCACGTGGTCGGCCATTGCCACACTCATGTATCAGCACACAGCTACACAACACAACCACCAAGCACGAAACAGACTACCAAACGAGTACTAAAGTCGCGGCACTCAACGCCGCGGATGGGAAGGAAGGCTCGTGGCCTACGAGTCTCTCGTTGGCCAAGAGGAAGGCTTTGGCGGCGTCACAGCTGTTACAACACTGCTAACTGCCGCCAAGGAAAGCTTAAATCCTATCTAACGCTTCTGCGTAACGGTTGGGGAAATTATTCTACATCTTATTACTTCAATTATAAACACATCCAATAATAATAAAAAAGAGGATCTTCCATTACAAATGACTTTTCTTTGTGAAGATAACTTGAACAGGAACAACATAATACCGTTGATATTGCGTTTTCTTCATACGCGAATATAAGACGACACCCGATTTTTAAAGAATGAAAACGGGAAAAAATCCTCGTCTTATATTCGGGTAAATACGGTACGTCTGGAAAAGAATGGTCAAAAGTTGACTGACAGAAATATTGGGAAATGGTTGTTGCAAAGAATGGGAGAGGAAAGCATTGCAGAAATTGATGGTGAAAAGAAAGTGAAGATGGGCATGACACATTCTGGAGTACATTTATTGATGATGGAATGCAAACATTTGGTAAGGAGTGGGGAGAAAAGATTTCTTGATGTGCTTTATGGATTGAGAAAGTACCGAAGTTAGTAAGGAAGAAGCTCAGAACTAAGGAAAATCGAAAATATATGAATGCTGGAGATACCTGTCCTAGAATAAATGGATTGTCAAAAATTAGCAATAATTAGCATTATTAATGATATATTATACATTTCAATCAGACACCTTTAGTTTCTTGAGTTTCCATAATTGAGAAATAGAAATAGATGCTTACTTCCTGTTTTAAAATATAATGAGATATTGGTATTCGTAGAGTGGAACGGTTCCACTGGAACCTGTTCCTTACTCCCAAAACTGAAAGTGGATATTTGGGTAAATTAATTTTTATTTATTAAAGCAGTTGAAAAGTGAATATTTTTCATATAAATATGCACTACATTATGAGACTATCGTTTTGGAACAATAATCTGCCACTAACGAGTGTTTTAAACTTTGGCATTTGACGGGTTTCTAAAATGAACTATTCAATTGATTTTGGTTGTAATTTTGATAGTAAATATAGCTGTTGATTATATGAATTTTGATAAAACAAAGCATTATGTCAATTGAGAATAAAAATATAAAAATTTATGTTGTTACTGCTGGACATGAAGATGCTTGCCTCAAGTGACAATTTTTTAGGTAATCTTCAAGATTCTAAATCTAATAATTTAGAATATCATTGAACAGTGATCAGAGGATGTAGAAAACAAAATCCAAATGTACAATGGACTGATTAAACAGTTTGGAAGGAATATGACATAATAGACTAAGAATAAGAAAAATACAATATGATTTCAAAATTAGTGCTCGTGTATGGATCAAAAAGTTGCACAATAAAACAATTAAAAGTAGGGACTGGCTAAGATAGTAGCCCTTTTGAGAAAATGTGTGTTTGTAATGCGAAATTTGAAGCTCTTTTCACAGAAAACTTTTGAGAGGGAAGAAAAAGAAAATAAAATAAAAAAGAAGAAGAAAAAAGCAAAATAAATTTTATAAAACATCTAATGGTGCATTTAGTACTATTTGTACAAAACATTTAAAGAAAAAAATTGAGCCGTTTTTGAGAAAATTGATATTGAGCGTTTCTAAAAATGCAGAATTTTGAGCTCATTTTTTCACAGAAAACTATTGAGTTTTCAAGAAACTTTATATGACATAATCTAAAGCGCACATAGTCATGAATGCAATAATTTGTTCAAATCGCCGCTAACGTAAATATTAAGGTCGTCAGAGAGATATAAAAAAACGCGTATAAAAAAAAGAAACAAAACAAATAAATTTGGCATTTATGTCATTTATGTGACGTTTATGTATAAATGTGGCGTTTATGTCATCATGAGTACATTTAGCACTATCCCTAAAAAGAGTAAAGAAAAAATGTGGGTCCATTTTTGAAAAAATCTTGTTTGTTATTTTTTAATATTGCAATATTGCGTGAGAACTACTAAAACTTTGTATAAAAACTGCTTGAACATGAAAGAACTAATGTTGGAGAACAAATTTCATTTAAGGAAAATTATCTTCAATTTTTTGTAATTGTTGACACCAAAAAAACTCAATTGTTTGCAATTTTCGAAAATTTAGAGTTATTAGTGAAAATTGCACCTACATCACTTTTATAGGCACCTTTATAGGTGTATTGCACTATATTTACAAGATTTTAAAGAAACAATTTGGAGGCGGACGTTTTTTGGGGGGGAAAAACAACAATTTTTCAGTAGCTAGGGTATGTTTTTCCGTTGAAAGTCCGAAATCGATTTTACACAGTATTACATAACTTTCTCTACACTACCTATTACTCCGTTTATACATACGTATACCAGAAAGTAAAAATGAAGCATAGGTTCCAAAAATTACCTAAAAATTGAAAAATGGCACAAATAACCCATTTCTACCACCATGTCATGATAAACATTCATTTACTAGCTAGTCTACAATGGCCCATTGAAAATATTATTTGTAATCAGAATCTGAGCCCTGATTGTAACATTTTTTAAATATTTTTCGTACAGCAATGGAAATCTGTGTTCTAGGAGGTGTTGAAAAGACTTGACGAAGATTCTGAACAGATGAAAATATGTTTTCTTCAGTTAATGGACATGATAGAGAGTAGTAGAAAGCTAATCAGTAATGAGAAGGAAGAAAATCTGCAGATTCTACAGTTACTTGATTGCTACTGCGGTAAGTGAAGTGTCTGTAATGAGTGTCATTGCTATTTTGTCTTCAGAAAATTTGTTAAAGAGACATTTTGAATCATGCTGTGGGAAATCCCTATTAAGAAATTTAAAAAAGTAGTTCAGATAAGAAAGAAGAGAAGTTGAGAGAACTTGTTGATTTAGAAAACAGTGCTTCTTGTACAGCACTACATAAAAGACAAAATAATTTTAAAACACTGAATTGAGACAACAGTGACCAAATTTATGAAATTTAGAAATCAAGACATATTGTACTCATCCTTTCCTGTTGTACTTTATAACTAGTTATGACAATTAGTATGCCTGATGTTTTGGTCATGTTTTGTAACCAAAACATATCATTTCCAAGTCTTTTGATGTGTGTCACTGTACTGAGAAGTTGAGAGAACGTGGCTGTGTGGGTGACACACATGACTCTGGCCTACGACTTCGGAAGCCTACGACTTCAATTCTTTTGATATGTTGTCATTCATAGTTTTATTTTATTGCCTTTAAATTTTGTGTCTAATTAGTCAACTTTGAAGTTATCTCACATTAAGTATTAACTGTCAGGCCCCTGTTGCACGGGGGGTTCATAAGTAAAAAATAGGATTATGCCGAACCGATTCCTCATGTCAATACAAAAGTTTTGGGCAAAGTCAAATAGCCATTCTTCTTATTCTTCTCATTTTCTTTTTAGTTCCTCCCCCCATCTCCTCCTCTTTTTCCACTTGCTCTTCCTTTTCACTTCACTTCCACTTTCTCCTCTCATCTCCACTTCCTCATTCTCCTCCGTTTTAAATGTTGTTAGTGTTACGATAATGGAATCTCATTCTATTTTATCCGTTCACCCCAAGAAAAAACCTGATGTAAACCAAGTAAAAAAAATATTTCCGTCACACTACGCTTGTAATTGGACAACTTGTAGCGCACTAATTTCGATGACATTGAGCAACATATACACGCCAGTTCAAATGGAATAAGTGCTGTCATGCAAGTGTCGTGAAACTACTTAACGATAGTCAGCCTCATTAAGTGGATCGATCCCCGAGATGTCTCCATGTTCAAGCAGATGATACATCTGCCACATATTTCATTCTTTCACAGCATGCATCAGTACACTTCGCAATTTTTTAGGGGTCACTTGCATCAATGCCTCTTCGAAATTGTCGAACTTCCCAGAGTTTTAATGCTCTATTCTTACGTGCCCCTTTTACTTTACCCTTTAATCCCTTTACTTCACACCATATCCAGGGTCGAATTAACAATTTTGCTGCCCATAGGCCAACGAAATATTGCCGCCCTCAGACAATATTTTCCACATTTTGCGTACATTTCGTAAAGAGAACATGATTTATAATAAAATTGTCGCATTTATCCAAATATGATGCTGATTGAGAATCTTTATCAGTATATGAACTTTTTACGAGCTTTTTACTGAACGAATTAATTATCTACTGTATATTTGAGCGATATACATTATTCGAAAAATTAGGAGAATCAATTTGATTATTTTTGTACAGATATTTTAGGATATCTGAATTCTTGCATCATGATTCTTTTATCCCTCACAGTGCCTAACTTGCCTAAGAACGGTGTAAAATTTAGAAATTGGTCCCTGTGCACATGCGACTGAGATACAGACTCATGAATTTTGTCTCAGTCGCTTGTGCGCAACTATGTTTGTGAAAAAAGTACCGCGGCAAATATGAACGTAATATAAATCACAAAAGGACACTTTTGTGGGACTTTTTAATTAGAATTATTCATTGTATATCCACATCATAATGATTAAAAATTTGCCTATAATTAAATATAAAAAATGACTAATGTATAAGTCGTACAATAAATGGTTAAATTATTATTATTCAATTGTATCTGTGTTTAGAAATACACACACACGATTTTAAATTTTTCCGCCCCTATAATCTTGCCGCTCTAGGCCTGTGCGAAAATACTCCCCTGATCATATCAGTTCAATAGGGTTCACTGTACAGCGGTAAGGTAGCAATAGCAAAATTTAAACCCGCGCTGTGTCGCTAGTTCATCAATGACGTACTACTCCAAATCTGTTGATTACTCTTCCCAGATTTTGAGAAGCTCCGCTGTCACAAATTTGGGTCTTAACTGTTCATCCCTTTCCGACAACCACCCAATGTCTGCTTTACGTCAGAATTTGTTATACTTCGATTTATTTACAATGTCACTTGACGTTTAATGAGCTGTTACGGCAGGGCTGCTCAGCATTTCGCACTTTCACTGACCTCGGGAGCCATGCACGAGCCACTCGAGTGCAAATGCGGAAGGGTAAGGAAGTGTAGGGATAAAGAATAAGGAAGTGTGGAATGTTTGTCGATAGATGTCAATGTGAAATATGAATCTAAAACGAATTAGACGTACATGTTAGACTTGTACACCAAGTAATATAAGTGCTTGCATTTGTAACGATGTAATCGCAAATTTAATGTGGCGCTTAAGTCAAAATTGTAATATTAAATAGTTTTTGTTCGAAGATGACAGTCATACGCTATTCTTAATTTACTATTTTTAATTGAATAAGACGGTTCAATCAAAGCTTAAAAATCATGTTTACTTTCTGCTGTAATTTCTGACAAGAGTACATTGTATATTTTTAATATCAATTCAGCGGACACTATTTGTTCATAATCGTTTACGACATCGTATAAAAAGATAAGAGTTCTTTGCATTCTATGTAACAAGACTTACGAGTACAATAATGTCCTGATTGCCCTGACATATCTTCAGATAGGTTTGTTCCGTTGGCATCTCGTTTTGATTTTGCTATTATTGGAAATTATAACATGCCTAGTGAGAAATCAATTTTTAAATTGTACGATTTTGTTGTAATTAAATAATAAATTTATAAAAAGGCTTGTAGTTGTGCCACGTCTGTGAACTTTTCCTGAGTTTCAATACTTTGGATACATATATTACAGCAACAGAACTCTGCTGGAAGTTCAGCGATTTGTTTTACCAGCAATGACGGATTCCTATGCAAAAGCGAATTGGAAGCTTTCATAACTATGCGCTTTTCGCCTCTTCGAAGAAATTTTCCATTCTTGTGTTGAAGGGCCAGCCACACTCGCAGACTTAAAACGAACTGAGCAGGGCCTCGCAGGCCAACGGGCGCCGCGTCCCACGCACCTGACTCACGCAGGTTTGCCATATGGATAACAATGGAACTCAAGACATCCGAAATATATTTCAGAGCAATTTTTGTATGCAACTAAATAGTATATCAAATAAACAACTAAATAGTAGATAAATATAAATTATATTTGCACACTTTCAAGAAGATCAGGGTGATCACTCTTTCCAAGACGAATTTCCCTGCCGTTTGAAGGTTATCCAGGTCATTTCCTTATTTTCCCATCCCAAATTTGTGAAGTATTTGAAGATATTTAAATAAAATACTACATAAAACCTGACTTCGGTCTGTATTAAAACCCTGGTATTGACTGAGCCCTTGTCTCCTTTTCATTCAAAATTCTCTTGCACTAATACATTGTGAAACAGATGCAATTCGTTTCAAAACACACATTATCTTTCTCTGTGTTTTTCATTTCTCAGATTGTTCCATAAAAAGACAAAAATAACAATATTTGCTTAACAATTAGCCGCGTGCGTTCTGTTATGTAGTGCTGTTCCGTGATGCAGTTCACAAGTAGTCCCGAATCGCAGTTTTCGTGTAGCGCAGTAGGGAATTAGAAAAGAGTGTAAAAATAAGGACATTTGGCAAAAACAAGAAAAAATCTGACGGGACAGCGGAACGTGTCGATATTCAGGACATATCTCACTTTTTCAGGACGTATGGCAACCCTTGGCCCGTGTCGATCAGCAGTTCATAGGCCGAACTGTTAGAAGCTCGTAACCCAGCAGCATGCACGCAGTTCACAGTGGTCTCCTTTATCGAAACCGTTATAATAGTTAAACGAAAGGTTAATTCAACGAACGATGTCAGGTAAATTAGTTCGTGTACAGAGGACTATTTATTTTAGTGTCAGGACCCGGACAGTAGCAGAGCTTATACTGCCAACTAATATCCTATACTTAGAACTTTTAATGCAGCAACAACAACAACAACAACAATAATAATAATAATAATAATAATAATAATAATAATAATAATCTTATTTTTCGTAAAGACTTGATACTTTCTACTGACAAAAGAAATACTTCATCTTTGTCAACTTTCACAATCACACGATAGGCGTACTTCATTATCATTACCGTCTTTCCCACTTTTATACCAGAAGTATTTGGTGGATAATGAAGTGTTCCTCAACAATTAGGCCTTCGTTTTTATTTGCTTTGAACTTTTTTCAGTGTAACATTAAACAATTTTTTTCTGTCTGACATGCTCGAAATACAAAAACCCCAGAGCAGTACCCTATTAACTCTGCAGGTCAGCAGAACAGTATAGATCACAGAATCTATTACTAGTACCAGCATACAATGCGTTGTATCCGAGTACGAATTAAGAAACGCGTTGTATCCACGAACATACTATTACAACACATTGTGCAATGAGGTATACCTTCTGATGGCGCATTTCATGGGGTAAATGACGCAAGTGTAGATACAGTTCATCTATGTATTTTCACGGTTAGGTGAGAAAGTTAAGTTAAATATTACTTATACAACAATCAAATGTTATGATGTCGGGGACTCGAAAACGTTGAAAGCAGCGTAGATTCCTTTGTACATCATACGTCTAAGATGGTGCATTTAAAAGTAGTACTTCTTTTTCCATAAAAAGGACATTTAGACTTTACTTTTAAAATCCACCCGGACAGTTTTTATTTCAAAATGAGGACGTATGTAACCGTAATGTAACCGTATTGACGGTGTTACCAATCGGGAGCTTAAACGTCACCACTGGGACGTCATCGTAATGATGTTTTACCTCCCAATTGGATGACGCCGTAACAGCTGATTTACGTTGTGCGCCATGTTAAAAGATCGAAGTATAACACGTGCATTTGTTTACATCGAGATTTTTCTTAGCGTGAACGTAATAGTCTTAGATACCCATACATAACATCGCTAATCGTTGCACGTAATTCTGACTTAATTTGTGTAAATGCAATTATGGGTTTAGTTTGTGCAGATAAGACAACTGTCTCTTCAAGAACTCAAACAGTAGCTCCCATGGTATATGGTATACCATTGAAGAAAGCATCTATATCTTTAAAACGATTGGATCCTTTTCAGCTCCAACATGTGTCAACAGGTATGTCCTTTTTTCTGCTTCTCTCATGTTATTTAACCTATGCAATCTTTCAAAGAGTATCAGTCTGTTGAGTGAATTTGTACCAATCATTGTGTACCACATAATGCAGCAAATAATTTCATCTTAAACTATTGTTTTTCTGTAGAGTTTTGTTACGAAATGTACCACGAAACAAGAAGTACCCTAATAGAAAATTGCTTAAAAACATTACCATGAACATGTTGGTATCAAGATAACAAAATTACATAACAAGTAGTTAACATGTGAATATGAATGTAATGGCAAGAACCTGGAAGTTTGACGAAATGCCTTCTTATTATCATTAAGATTTTAAGATGTGTAATTATATGAATTACTTAATGTCCTATGGGGAGTGTTTTAGATTTTAATTTAGTTTGTTGCCTGTTTTAGCTTCCCAAAGCTTTAGCTTGCACTAAAGCATTTTACCTTCTTTTGACTTTCTCTTCCTTTTTTGTAATTATTTGCCTTCTTGACCGGACACAAATTTGGATGAACCCAAATACTTAATAGGATGGCGGGACAATGTGTGGGCACTGTTGCATGTAGTCTTTATCTGCAAGAGAGATGTGTTGTCAGGTAGGAAGTGTCCATAACGACTGCTTGAGTAGGCCTATGGTCTCCAAATCCTTACAAGGACAGAACTTTCTACATCATGATATGCCTTGGCTCAGAGCTGGCAATGTCAGCCCACCTTAGCTCTTTGTAGAAACGGCACTGAACGTGAAATGAATTTGTAGTCATCATATTGAAATTTAGAATGCCATTAACCCTTTTAGGCCTAAGGTAATTTCTGATATATTAACTTTGCTTTACTCTTGTATTCTATGGATGTATGTGATATGTTTTTTCACATTCTTCATTGGGGCATATAAAGGTTTATTGATCATAGGTGTCTAAAGTAGTGTTTTATAATGTCGCTAATAGGTGCCAGTTCAATCTGATTTGTTGCTAGATTTGCATTTTTTCCCTTGAAAAGTGAATAATGTTTTTACTTTTGTGCATTGCCAGTTAAGTATGTTTGAAAGGTCTTTCTCTATAAGTTGTGTTTGTACTGTTAGTGAGATATGCAAATGTTTAGTCATGTAGGTGTCAAATTGAGGGTTGGAAATGTCCAAGTTGAAAAATCTGATGATATTGGATTACAATGTAAATAAATCAGGGTTTGATTCAAGAGGCCAGCTGATAAGCTACTTCAACAGAAAAGACGAAGTAATGGAAAAATATTTCTTCACATGTCTAAGAGAGCATTTGTAAGGCAAAAATTGTTCACTGGATCAACAGTAATACTATCTATCGACACTTTTTATTGCCAATTTAACAAAGCATTTTTTGATAAAGCAATCATAGACTTTAACAAAGAATAAACCTTGGCTTCTGCAGTTGCAAGTTCAAGGTGACTAAGCATGGCATTTCCCTGAAAAACTTATCGACAGAAATAAAACAATTCCGGCCAGATGCTAGGTCTCTTGGGAACAAGGCATTACAACAGGGAATGCAAGAATGGAAACAAGGTACTACTGTCAGCCTTGTAATGCAGCTGTGTGTGTTCTTGTGTGCTTCATGAAATTAACTAAATTAATCAAACTAAAGCTAATTTCGCTTGAAAAGATGAACACTTATACTAACATTCAACAACTATATCATAATTTTTCGAATATTGTTGTCGACTGAAGTTCACTACGTTTTCCCCCTTATTTTGTGACATTTTTAACACACAAAAAGAAGATAGAAAACATCTTTTTTTGTGAATTGCATTCTCGCCCAAATTCTACAATCAAGTGACAATAAAATATAAATGCATCTGGACCTGTGTGTCACATGAGCGTTGCGTTGACGCGCGTCACTTAACACTGAGTCCTGCACACGACCCGCTTAATGCGCGTCATAGATAAACACTTTATTTTCTGCAAAACTGCACGCGAATGCTCGTGACGATGTGCCTAGCGGGCGTCGCTCGTTGAAAACTAGAAAACGTGCGTTATCTTGATTTACTTTGCTTGAGCTGTGGACACAACGCATGTCGCCAAGACCACTCTAGAGCCGTTTCGCATAAGATTAAGTAATAATCTACGACGCGCGTTAAAACTCAAGACACAAGCATCGACGCGCGTCGACGTGGCTGACGTCATCGGCTCTAGGTGACGCGCGTCTACGCAATGCTCGTATGACACTGTCCCTAAAGAGGAAAAATGAAACTATATAAAATGATTTCAGTTTCAAATTAATGTATAGGGTGGTATTTTTATCTTTGTTTAATAGCTAAAATGCCAAAGACACAAGAGTTAAACTCGTGCATATCTATTCATGATCGCAATCCTCTGACGGTAGTTTCCTTCTTCCAAAAGATCTCACATTTAGCACCTCACGCACTACGCTAGCTACACGCACATCAAAATCACCAACCACCTCTCACTAATAACACGCGCACACAGTTCACAATATATAATGAAATGAAATTGAGGCCAGTCCGACGTTAGACCATGCCTTGGTACGCACTGACGTTTTAACCGGACTAACGGCGGATCTTCTTCCGCCTGTTAGTCCGGACTAAAAAGTACTATGAATACGGCCGATGGTCTTCGCCCCAGGCTCTAATGTGTTAAAAAATCATTTTCAGTGGTGAAATAGTTATTGATGATACAGGTGGTAAATTCCCTTTACCAAGTGTCTCATAAACATTTTTTCAAACAGCTTCACTGACTTTCATGTTATATTCAAGTATACAAATCACCTAATGATATATTAAGGTTAGTGGTAGGCACTCAGAAGTAATTATTTTGTTTTCTTTGGTGCATTCACAAATTTCTATGAACACTTGAGAATTGTCTCACTTTTTGCACTAGTGCCAAAAATTGAATTATCAGCACAGTGAGCCTGCCTTGAGAGATCTAGTTTTGTCAGGTTACTTTTTTTCTCATCTTCACTTTCTAATATTCTAGGTTGCCAAAATATGTGTTGTGTTTGCAATTAGTCCTGTATAGTGTTTGGAAATTTTGTCTTTCAGATACATTCGTATCTTCTTAATTTTATTTTGAAGTTGGCTCTCCTATTTATTTTAATTGTTCTAATAAAGTGGACAAACAATGCAATAATATATTAAATGGCAATCCATAATTTAAGAGAAGAGAAATATTTTTTATTTCGGTAATTAATTTTAAGAAATATCTGATAGTTATGAGCAATGAATATTACTAGGAAGATCAAATTTCCATGTAGGGGTTATGTAAATTTCAGTGTTGGATTAAAATTTCAATATTTTTAATTATGATGAAATTCTTTTCACCACACGTTTTTAACATTAATTTGTCATGCTTTTTCACATCTTCATTTTTCTCAGAACAAATGCCTTTTTGCCTGCTTGTTTGCAGGCAGAATAAGTGTCTGACTTGCAGGTTATACCAATAAATAAGGACAAATATAAAATGGTTAATGGAGACAAGGTTTCACGATTCCTTGAGCTCTAGCTGCAAATGAACATCACATTCCTGATTCTGGTACTCATAGAGCAGTATGATTATGCTTCACTTAGGCTTGAGCTTAACATGACCCCTAGCCCATGCCCCTCTCTCATCCTTTTTGATTGTGCTTGTCCCAATTGAAAATAATGTAATATTGATTTCTTATTTTTTGTACTTACCATTATAGTTATTGCGGATTCATCTCCTGCCTCAGCTGTAGGCTTTGCTAGAACAGCTCCGAGAGCATCTTTATGTGCCACTATTAATCCCCTTGTAGTTACAATACATTCATCGTCATCTTCAGTGGCATCAAGTTCTTCAGATGCTGATGATAATGACAATGATGATAATAATGCATCTTCAAAAACTCCATTATCAGTAAGTATCTTCGTGGAATTCATGTTTAAATAATGAGAATTGAAAGAATCAGTCTTAAGACTGTTTAATGCTTTTATTATTATGCCCAGAGGTACCGAAGGTGCAGAACATGGAATAATGTAGACAACATAGTTTCTTCCACATCAGGTCAAGGTAATGATGTCCAAAATTTTGTAGTTTAAATTTTGTATTATGTATTATTCTAATAAATGTATTTTAATTTCAGATTTTCGTCTTAAGACAGCCAGTATCTTGCTTAAACGTTTGGATCCAAGGTCATATCTACCTGAAACAGGTTTCTATGTGATGCTTTTATAATTTTAATCTTAATTTTGCTGTACCAATAAAAGCAAAAGTAAATGCCAGTCTTATTTGAATTTTTGAAGTATGAAAACATTTTTACTTAAATGATTTTGTACTTCTTTCTTTGTAGGCACTTCAGATTCCACAAATATAAATATGGCTTTTCAGAGAAGGGATATAGAGAACAATGTTTTTGATACTCTCTACAGAGCTGCTGTGGAAATAAACAATGAAACTGAGAATGGTTCAGAAATTCTTAGTGAAGCAAATGTAAGTTGAAGAGTCAGTATTGAATTTTTTTGCCACAAACAGACTCTTATTACTAGAGACGAGATGCTTGATAAAATACCTTATTATTATTATTATTATTATTATTATTATTATTATTATTATTATTATTATTATTATTATTGTAATTTTTGCACTTTCAACAATAAGAATTACTTAACTGTGCTTCAAAAGTTGTTTTAAATGATAATTTGCCTTTAGTGGTTAAAAGAAAGTATCATATTCCTTAAGTGGAAATTTTTTTTTTAACAAAATGACTCTAGTCAGAGCTGGGTAATGAGAAAGTGGGTACTCCTGTTCCTTATCTAGTAAATTACTTCCTCTAACACATTGTGTATTCAGAATCCATGTTTTGTAGGTCCTTGGCATTTTTGAAAAATTGATTGATGACAAAACGTCTGCCTGCCTGTTTGTGGTCAGTTCTAGTGTGTAAACCATCCAGATGATTTTCTCGAAAATTAAAATTCTGTGATAGATCTGTATGAATTTGAGGCCCTGCGAGATTGAAATGGATTTTAATTTTTGAATGTACTTCACATGAAACCTTAACATTTTAAAAATATTCCCAAAAATGGCTCCAAAATTTTTTCTATAAATTAAACAGATAGAGTGATGGTTTTTTCCGGAGCTTAAAAACCTGGCACAGGTATCATTGTCATTGAATACTCTGGATTTTCGAAAATTGTTGAAGTTAGAAATAATGAGAGAGGCCTTTAGTTTTTATGTGTCACGAAAAAGGAATTGTCTTTGAGAAACTTTATGATGTAGTGGTGAAGTGCTTGGTCGACAACTTGAAGAACCTGAGTTTGAATCTTTACTTGGAAAAAAAAATTAGCTGGTTGGTAATGCTTTTGGAAGTTCTTGTAGTGTAATATTGAGTAGCCATTACACACAATGCAAGAAGTTTATCCTGTTAAGCACCACTAGTTTACTTTTTATTACTGGCTTGTCTTTTATTTTATATTATTTTTTAAAATTTTTTTGCAAAATTACAACCAACTTTATTTTTTGCTCTATTCAATGAGATAAAGAAAAGTTGTGTAAAGCTGTGGAAAACCGATTTTGAGATTTTTAAAGAAATACAGGTTTTCAAAGCTTCCTCCCATCTGTCTGCCCTGTGTAGGTAATATGTTAACTGGGATTCTTTGCCTGCATATTTGTCAGCAACATCCTAAACATTTGAACTCAATCTTGTTCCTTAAAAAAAAGTATGCAGCAATTTTTAGAAATAAACTAAAAATTATGTACATTGAGTCACACACACATATATATATATATAAATAAATAAATAAATATAT